TCAGTTGTTAATGTATCTCATATTTCGTTTCATTCTCATTCTATATACATGTATATCTTTTCTATATTTATTTACCATTTATATATTGTTTATTGTCATTGTTTCAAATTTTTTTAAATCGTTCTTTTAACAATTTTCTTATTCTAAAAATATTTATCTTTTGCATATTTAATTTAAAAATTGCTGAAGGATTCAGTGATATATCAGATATCTCGTATAATAAGATTAATCTTAAAAATCTCATATAATTTATACATGAAATTTAATATTAAAAATATATAATATTTAATATTTAATATTAAAAAATATTTTGAATAAAAATTAAATGATTTTAAATTATTTTCTGACATTATTCATTTTTTTTTAGATAGATGTATAAAAGAATATACAATTTTATTTTTTAAATAAAATAATACATTTTTTAATGGATGAATTAATGTTTCCGTATTTATAAAAAACTATTATGCTATGAAAAATAAATATTTAATTTAAGAGATAATTTAATGTAATTAATGTAATTAAATATTTCTTAAATTAATGATTTTTTGGAAAAAATATTTAAATATTTTTTTATAAAAAATAATAATACATTTAATATTTTACGAGAAATATACATAGTTCTTTAAAAAAAAATTTGATTTTCATACGACATTTATTACTTTTATCTATATAAATGTTACCAAATTGTGCTTTTTTTTGTAAATATTCAGCTTTTATCTGATAAATGTTTTATTACGGAAAAGAATATTGATCAATATGATAATATATAATAAGATATATATATCTTGTACAATAATTAAATATTTAGAAATAATAAATATGAATAAGATAAGAATCGATAATGATTCAGATATAAATGGTATAATGTATATTTCATGAATATATTTTAGTCGATGGAGATAATGATACTCTCATAAACATTGATATATCGATATCAATATTGACATTAATATCAATTATTATATTATATATATGTATATATATTTATAATTTATTTATTAAAATAAATAAATCAAAAAAGTTAATTTCTTATAATTTTATAATATATCTTATTTTTTTCTTCTAATTATAGGAGATTAAAATATTTATTTAATTAATAAAATTAATTTTTATTTATAATTAATAAATATAACAATTATTTATTTTAAACATGACTAAAATATAAATCATTAAAAAATCTAATATATATATATATACAATATCACATATTAAGAAACATTATATCGAATTTTTGCGAATGGATAACAATTGTTCCACACAATCATATTCTTTGCATGTCCATAATATATTTATCAATTTACCGATTTCTGCATCTTTTGTATTAGCTTGTTTCCAATCGAGAAATATTTGATAGATTACCTAAAAATATGGCCATTAATATGACAATTTTTAATGATATAAACAAAAATATGAGCATTATAATCAAGTTTACTTCATTTATGCCTCTGTATTTATAATTTTCTTCGAATTGTTCAATTTGACCATCCAAATATAGCAATTTTCTAGCGACATCTTTCCAACCATGTCCAATATAAGTCTTAATAGTAAGTATATCATCTAAAGTAATTTCATCACTGCAAGTACATAAACGTTCTACTTCTATTGGCATTTGGCGAGTTTTCGATCTTACATCTTCTTCAGCCTTATTCTTAGAAAATTGATTAATATTACAAATATAACTAGTTCTTGAACCAATTTTTACATCACTCGAATTAATTATATTATAATTTATGACGTGTGCTATAAAATAAAAAAACAATCACTTCGATATGAATAAATTTGACACATTCTATTTTTTTTTTTTTTTCAATAAACGAGTGATTAACACTTACAAGATTTATGTTGCTTTGGTTTTTTTTTCGTTTTAATATTCGGCCTTCTTTGTTCTTTTGAATCATGTGTAGAACTTTTTGTATCATTCAGATGTTGTCCTTTAGTGGAACAATTAACACCTGTGACAGGTATTGCATCGCTCTTTTCCGATGTTATATTATTTCGTGTAAATTGTGATTCTCTAGTAGCATTGGATTTCTTTGTTTCATCGTTTATTGATTCTAAATTGTGCGTATATCCTTTAATCGGTATTCGCGGCGGATCAGGTTTTGCATCGGTCGTTAACATGTGAAAACGACGAGATAAGTTCGAAAGTATTGACATTTTCTTTAAAATTTATATATCATTTAAAGAAAATATCTTTCTATGTTTTTCTAAAAAATATTATATGAATATTAAATTTTTTGATAAAACGATTTTCTACTAAAAAAAAAAAAAATATAAATATATTTTCCAATATAAGAAAATAGATAAAATATACTTTTAAAAAAATAAATATTAAATGAATTAATTGAGTGTATCAGTATTTTAATTGCTTCACTATACGCTCGATATAATTTTATAATTACATGTATTTCAATTTTTTATATTGTATTAATATAAAAGAACAATTCGATAAGAAACTCATTTTTTTTCTTATTAATTTATAACATTTTAATAGCATTTTCTTTATTTATCTCTATGATACAAAACCCTTAATTTTCTTCTTTTGAATATATATATTCTAATTACAAATTAATTATGCGGTATATTTTACTATTATAATTACTAAGATACAAAAACGTATAGAAATAATTATCATATTATTATATATATAATTATCAATTATAAAAGAAAAAAAAATAGAAAAATAATAAACAGAAAAAAATTCTAATGTGATTAAAAATACTAACCATATGAATACGATTTCCATGACCTCAAGATGATCTGGGTTTTCCAGAAATAAAACCGGTTCTATATATAACATATAATCTTTAAGTAACAATAAGTAATACTTAGAAATTGAATAGATAAATAATTACATAGCTATTATTTTTGTCTATCATTTTTGATAAATTAATTGATTTAGATTTAATTTAAATTAATAATAATTAATATTAATTTGCCTTCATAAATTATTTCAAAAACATCATATTCCAAATGAAATTATCTTTTCTTCGAATAATATTTATTACATTTCTAGAAAACATAAAAGCGCAACAGGTTTTAAAAATTATACTTGATGTTAGTTTTCTTTTTTTTATTAATTATTATATATTCAAATGATATAGAGTATTCGAATACTTGCATATAAAAATATTATTTTATATAAACATTTTTTAAAACAATTAAATTAATGTAGTGTTGAAAAAAGACTTACAATCTTTTTAACTCGAATCTATCTTTTTCTTATTTTTGAATATTATACACACTCATTTTTATATATAATAACATTTGTTATAAACAAAAATTTATCAATACATATAATTATTATATTATATATAGTTAATATTTCGCGTTAATATTTTAATTATAGTCACTCAATAAAAATCTGCTTACCTACTTAAGTAGTAAGTAAGTACTCCATGCTTATGAAAGAAGCGAATGCATTATTAACATATGACGCATAACCACAGATGAAATACAGAACAGACTGACAGACCTATTATCTTATGAGATTTTATGTTCTATGTTTTAAAAAACCAATCATACAAAAAATTAGAGATTTTGGTACGCCCTCTATGATTTAGAGCGCTAAATTTAAGAACCAGCTACAAGAAATAGATAAAACAGTAAAAATAATAAAATATGAATGGGGAAAATTTTTTAAAAAATTATGTACTATCTCGAGATTCTACGGAAAAACTTAAAATAATTAAAGAAAAATTAAAAGAAGATATAAATCAGGCTGATCCTTGGTGGCAAGTTGTAAATAGAAAGGTTAGTATTATTATAACATTAATATTATCAATATTTTAAAAAGAATATTATATTTATGAGATATAATAATAAAATTTGCGATATTTGGTTCAGAAAGCAGAAATAACATATATAAATGAAGAAGAAACATTGAATGAGAGTAATGAAAATTGTAGTGATATTATAACTGAGACATCAGATCAACTTTTATCCACGCAATTTTATTTTACACAATTTGACAAATCCTTTCACAAAAATACTAAACAAGAACATGTACCAAAATTTGATATAACAGAATATCTCTTGGAAGGATTAGAGTGTCCTAATGGAAAATTGGATTTAAATCAATTAGAAAATTTAACAGATATAGAATTTATGGAAATAATTTGTAATTTGGAAAAAAAATTAAGTACATCGGGTATATATAATTTATGTTATACCATGAATAATATGACATTGGAACAACGTATGAAATATGCAGAAATACTTCATACTCATTTATTATTACCAAAGGTGATATTTATATTATTAATTATAAATATAAAATATAATTAATAATAATTAAATAATATATAAAGAATTAATTATATAAAATACTCTATAAGTGTAGTTGATAATATTTTTTAATATTTTTATAGATTATTACTTTAAAAGAACCTACAAGATCACTTGTATCTGTTTTAATAGAGTGTACTAAAAAATTTCCAGATGATATTCAGAAATTAATTTTTATTCCTCTCTTAAATATTGATTTAATAGATACAACAATTATTATTGCTATAATAAATGCTTTCGAATTTGAAAGGTATATTGTTCTTATAACGTAAGTATTATTATATTCTATTATTAATTAAGTAAACTTTGAAAATATCTGAAATGTTAACAATTCAGTGATTTTTACAGGGATTATTTAACGAATGTAAAAGAATTAAAATTATGGCATATTTCTTTTTTACAAACTTTAATTTCTACCAAAATAGATATTTCTATGAATAACAAACTTATACAATTATTACATGAAAAAGCAGCTGATTTTAGTAAAGATAAAAATTTTGGAAAGTTTGTATTATCATTTATAAAATCAAATATTAAATTTTCTAATGAACAAATACATTTACTATGGGAAATAGGAAATATTAATCAAACATTATTTAAAAAACCTATACAAAATGTATTAAAATCTATGTTATCTTTGTAAATATTATAAACAGTATATTATGAAAAATCATATATGATAAATTTTATTTTTTTATTATAAAATATATTTTTTCTTTGATATTATAATTAAAAATAGAAAAAAACATGAGATTTTACGCGTGCGCGTAATAGATTTGAAATTCAATGGAAATACAAATGGTGTAAACATGACTGAAGAACTCTCTGGTGTCACAATAGTGATATTTATTGCGGCCGGAGTTTTAACAATATTATTATTATTCATATTTGCAAAACGACAAATAATGAGATTCGCGTTACGATCACGTCGTGGTCCTCATATTCCTATTGGACATGATGCAAGGAAGGTATGAAGAATCGAAAAGGTTAAGTTACTTATGTGTAATTACATATTTTTCGTTATACTTATTATTAGTGACATTCAAAATTAATAATATTTATATATAAGAGTTATTTTAGAAAAAGTAATTTTTATTTTAATATAAATTTTTTTTTAATTTATTTTAAAAATATTATGGCATTCACTTATAATTATTTATAATAAGTAAATATCATTTATATTATGTAGTATGTTCACATACATGTATTAAAAATTATAAATGATTATATATGATGTATATATATGAAAATATAGTATATCTTTAATTGTTTAGTCATTGAAGAAGGAAATTGAAAGACGGATAGAAGTAATACCAAAAATTCAATATGAGCCACAACTTATTAGTGATCCAAGACTTATTTTAACTCCTCGAGGACATGTTCCACCACATTATTATAGATTAAAAGCAGTGGATGATGTTAAAACTTTAGGTAATTACATTACTACAAACTTTTTATGATAAATAAAACTTTTAAATAGAGATTAATTTCCAATATATCCATTCTTGTAGAAGCTGAAATTACCAAATATGATAATTGTTTAAGGAGGCATCCATCTGAGAATTTACGAGCATATTTACTTGCCACATTAGCAACTCCATTAAATGGAAGTGGACAAAGATTAATTCATCAATTCTGTGATTTATATGAACATGCACGACATGATCCAACTGAATTTGGAGACGAGGAATATCAAGTATATACCCGTTTATTTCTTAAATTAATGGATGCGTAAGTATGATTTTTTTAAATTATAAAAGAAGTTTACAATTAGAACATTTATTGCAACTTATCATGATAGAATACAAATTGTTGAAAAATGAAAAATTGTTCTTAATGTTTTCATAGGGCCCGTTTGTTAAAATCGTATCCGAGCAGTAGAAAATCTAGTCCAAGTCGTACACCTATAAAGAAAAATGTTGAGACGAAAAGGAATATATTAGAACCTAAAATGAAATTACCCGAAGATCAAACATTGACTGGTTCACGACCAAATACATTAACGGTAATGATGCTGGATAATAATGAAACATCTGTTTAGCATTATGAAAATCGTCACATACAACATATGTGACGAATAGTTGTTTCATAATTGCTAATTTCTACACTATACGAAATTGCAAGTAAGTAAAATACATATTTAATTTTTATTATAATAATATTCCAGAAATATGTTTTTCCTTTTAATTTCGTATCATCTTAAATTTGCAGTTGTTACGAACAGATTTTTTGCAATAGAAGTTGTTTCAGTCTAACATGTACCAGATTACGATTAAATATCGATTTCTGTTTTAATCGATAAATATTTAGTCCATACATCTTTATAATAGGAATTATGTCTTAAACAAATTAATGCTCGATGAAATGTGGATTTATACGAACTAGAAATATTACTCATTCTCATGTAATTTAACCATTCCATCATCTGAAAGGTATAATATTATTAAAAGATTTTTAATTAATTTTTAATTCTTACATAATTATTAGATAAAAAATTGTTCAATTGCTAAATTGCTAAATTATTATTCGGTCGTAATTATACGATAATATACAAATAAATCGTAAATACCTGTGGAATTGCATACTTCCAATCCTGTCTTTCAAAAATAATTGTTAGAGCTTGAGGAAATAATTTTATTTTAATATTTTGCGATTTAATTAATAAATCTTCTTTCATTAACATGGAATCTATGCCAGATAAACTAATAATAGAGACGAATAAAATATCACAATAGAATTGTATTTTATCAAAATGATTTTGCTGTGATTCCATAAAAAATCCTTGAACTTGTGTCATAAGATCGAGAATCCAATTTAAACTGGATCTTTCAATTTGCATATTGATCAACACATTTCGTATAATTTTTAGGAAATATATTTGCACACTTTAATAAGAATATTAAGATATATTTTTATTTGCGATTTTAAAATTATATGATAGACCTTTTGATCAGAAATCTTACCTAAATGTAGAGGCAATAGTTTCATCGATGATTTCGTTCAACCATGTTAAAGAAGCTTCGGAATTATGTTTCTTTAAAACCAATTCACCTCTGATCGCGATTGCATTTTTCAATTTACCTGGTATTGTTTCCCACCATACTTTAGGAGATGTCATTCTCTCTAAATGTTTCATTGGTAATTCCAATGCTGCTGCGAAATAAGAATAAAACTGATCGCACGTTAAATCTATTTTGTCCAAAAGTTCCTCTAATATCGTAGAAAGTAATGTAGAATTAGCATGACATACTTCTGGATTTTTTAACGTTTGAGCATACGAATACATAATAGAATGGAACAATTCTATCGAATTTTTATTACCGACATCCATTTTTTCAATTACATGTTTCAACGTTATATCTAAAAACGGTTTAATGATATTCGGTTGTACAGCTTGGCACAAATCTTCGAGATTCGAATATAACACAGAGTGTTCATTGTTTTTCCAATTAAAATCTGTATCGTTTATTGTTTTATACATCGATAGATAATTCTCTATAAAAGATTTAGCAGATAAAGATATCGTTGCATGATGACACACGATGGAAAGAATATATTGTTTTGTTTCGCTTGACAGATCAAGCATGTTCTTTAGAAAATTCCAATTAATATTGGGCAATGGTTTCGGATATTTGTGAGCAAATATTCGTAAACATTCCGTAATAATACGATGATTATTTGAATCAATTTTGTTACATTTCCTCAAATATTCACCAATCGCTCTGATTACGCTTTTTTCTGGCAAATACTTAAAGTTTTGCGGTTCCCCTTGGGGCCAAACGTAAATGCCAGATCGGAAACTATTTACTTCTTCCGTCACAAAAGATATTAAAAGATTTCCAGCTGTCGGTAAAACAGTTTTATTTATATTTTGAAGCATTTGTATCCAACAAGTACCAGGTATATAGGGAAATATATCTTCTGGTTTTTTAATCGCGTCGACTGGAGTTTTCGCATATGTTGCAGGTAATACGAGATTACATCTAAATTCCAACGGTAGTGTTTTCAAAGATAATTGCTCCAAACGATACGAAGCTAGGGCTTTGAGTGCAGAGTTGATTACCTTTATATCATTAGATGTTGTGTATGTCCACAATTTCGATATGATATTATCGATCAAGCGATCGTATTCTTCAAGGCCTTGCGATGGTGTGTAAAATGCAGCGTCGGCAAATAATTCGCATAGGCTTTCCAAGACGATAGGACGTTTCTCTTTTTCCATTTTCGGAGCTAGTACTCTCCACGTTGAACAAATATCTATTACGGATGCCTTGCAAAGTATAGAAATACATCCAAGTGCGAGTGCACTCGCAGTTCCACCATTCGTGTTCGTTGAACGATTTAATATTTGCGACAACAATGGTACCAAATTTTCGCCATGCTCGGGACAATTCTCACAAATATATTTCATAGCTCTAGCGCAGGTTGCATCCGAATACCAAGAATAATCGTTTTTCATCAATTGTATTATCGCGGCGGAAACGAATCTGTAACATCTTGGTTCTTTTTTCAATGTTTTAAGATATAATTCGATTATAAAATATTTCAATTGTTTTTCACCGTTCAACAACATGTTCAATGTATGGTTTATAATTGGAACATTTTCTTTTGTACTTACAAGCTCAGGTATAACCGCTAGTAAACATTTTGTCTCCGTACTGCTTTTACATTTGGTTAATTTGTGCAATATCAAAGAAAGTACGTGCGAGCCAAAACTATTTGTTTCTCTGCTGACATCAACCAATATGTTACAACATAATTCGACTATTAAAGGTTCGTTTGATTGTAAGAGAAGACCGGATATCAATAATTTACATTTGTCTTTTAAATAAACGGGTACACTTGATATATTTCTTAACCAGGATAAAATGTCATTCGAATTCCAAATATTCGAACAATGCATCACCAGTTCTGAATAGAATTGAATATATGAATCGGAATGACTGAATACCGTAAAAAGTTTGTTTGAAAGTAACGTCTCTACGTTACAGGTTAAGTTCGTTTTTGTGAATATTTTGTTCGTTAAATCCTTTGCTAAATCTAATGCCTCGGAACATAATACGGATGGATATGCCATCCATTTTATCACAGATGCCTTCAAAGCGCTAAAAAATATATCATCATAAGACATTTTCTTTGTTATCATCATACCTGTAATGTAATATGTTATGTAAGTGTTTAGAGAAATGGTCCAAAAATATTACAATTTTTTTCTATTTTTTAGAGATACTTACATATTTGCAAAGCGTTGTACAAATAAATAGCCGGACATAAAGTAATTACTTCTGCCATCAATATCAACATAAGATTTCCAATATAGTTATCACAATAGTCTATAATATTTAATATAACATCGAAATTCGATCTTGGATCAGAATCTTTTTTTAATAATTGTATGATCAAAGATGCGATCATTGGCAATAAAGCGGTACAATGTTCTTTATCCTTCTCTGATAAAGCTTTCTCTGCAAGTTCTAAAATTCTATAATTTGTATTTATACAAGAATGACTTTCTGTCGTGCACAACCAAAGTAAAACTTCTGTCTGTACATTTGTATCGTATTTCGATCTAATTAACAATTGCCAAACTTGTTGCATGCAACAATCCATAGAATCCAACAAAGGATTGCATAAAATATATAAAAATACAGGGCGTAGCATTTTTATACTATTTTCTTTAATTCTGAAAATTTTATATACATTTATACGCATGTAAACATACGTGCGCGTTTTTTTAAATATAAAAGTATGCAGAACAATTATATATACAAATATATATATATATATCTCTATACATACATACCTATAATCTTGATGATTCATAATAAATGTTATTTGACTTAATACAGTCTGCCAGCTACGTTTATCTCGAATTAAAATGCTTATAAACGGATGCTGTGGCGTGTGTAAAGTAAATGGATACATAATTTTATTTTTTGAATCGCGTTTTAAATCCAGTATCAATAAATGACTTATTGTTGTAGTGGCAACCATATAATTTCTATAATGTATAATTATATGCATATTTTTTTACAATGTCAAAGAAAAAGATATAAGAAATATTATAGATTTGAAATTAATTTTTATACTTTATGGAGGAGATGCTCGAGGTAAAAGTAGATAATGCCTCGTTAATATCCCATAATCCATTTTCGACCAAAGCAATCAATGCTTGACAGGCTGATATGCTAAGCGTGACATTTGTACTGTCTCGTTTTGATAGTAATAATTTAAATTCAGCTATCTGTTTAATTAACGAATTTTATGGAACAATTAACCTAATAGAACTTGAAGATAAAAGTGAATTAATCGAATGAATGATATTTAGATATTACCTTTGATATATGATCCGTCTCTCGATCACATTTTTTTTTCTTTATGGATTCGAACAGTTTGGATGTTGCCTGTAGAAAAATGTATTGGAACAGCGATATGAATAGAAAAAAAGATAAATAATTAAAAGTTAGAAAAGAAAGAAATAACTCACGTGTGATATTAAAACAGGATTCGTAGATTCTAATTTATATTCTATTTCATTCATCTTGTAAAGTTAAATATGGTTTAAAAAAATTCTTTTACGTATTAATTTCACATATTTTTATCCTTAAAGAAAATGTGCGATAAAATTCATGTTTCATTACGCTAAAAATATTATTGCTACTTCCACAGTAACAATACTATTAATAAATATTAGGAATAATAGAAGTTGTCGCGTGCATATGAGTAGGTTATAAAACATAACCTTGTATCGTTAAAACATATTTTGTAATAATACGTGTTAACATGTATTATTCGTAGTTTACAGTCATTTATAATATGAAAATAAGAATAATTTATTTATACTATTTATATATTAAGAACATATGTATTGTAGAAAGAAATTTTAAAAGAGCACGATTACATCTCTCGCACGGTTAAGAATAATAATATGGAAAGAATAAATACATATCGTGTCGTTGCGAACACATACTTTCAATGCCACTTTTCATAAGGGTTCTCAAATAGAATTAGATATGATATTTTTTTGTACAACTATGCATGAAATTGTAGAAATATTAATAATAATAAGAAATTATTATTACAATAATATATATGAATAGATTATAATGGATTTATGATATATATATGTTATTTAAATATTTGAAATAGGAAAGAAGAAAAAAAAACGGAAAAAGATAATATGTCATTATTAATCGACAAGAGAGAAATTTGAAAAGGCGTGAAATTGTCAAAGGAGAACATACCGATCGAGGGATATTGTATAATAGTAAGATTTCCAATATATTTATTCGTATGGACAAGTTGGAGCATAGTGCACAATATAATTAATATATGTATAGTAGTCTGAGGAAGGGGTCAGATTACATTCTGGAGTTTGAACACAATATCTTACAATTTAACGACAAGATGCCTGCATTTCTGTATTTGCTTCT